AGGCATGACTCTTGTAGTAGAGTTCTTTGGCAGTTTGGGGTCCATTCCATTTTTTGTTGCTTTGTTGTTCCTAGTCTTAGAAGTCAACTGATTTGAACAAATTTGTAGAGAAGAACATTTATGTTGAGAGTCCAATGAACTAAGGCTACAAGCAGGCAGCCAGCTCATTGCAAGTGAATAGATCTGCCTGCTATCAAGCTGCTACTGAAACCCCTGTGGGAATTTTGCAAACACAACAGCAATCCAGGTCAGGTGTTAAACATGAATCAATCCACCAGGAGTCTTGCACACCCAAAACTAGGCCTTTGTGTTTTTTTTATGTGCTCATATTGGCCTAACAAAGTGGTAGCTGGTTGACTTGAGCCCTCTAGATAATAACACTAGCATTTTAAAAGGTGTGTCATTCTGTCAATGAAAATACAGTAATTTTTTACTTCTTACCTTCATTTGAAGTCTCAAGCCCCAAGTGGTGGCCAGGGAAAAACAGCAAGAGCTTTGTATGATTATCAAGCAGGTAAAGTTTGTAGAATCAGCTGAAAGAAACCATTGGTATAGATATACAATCTGTGTATTTGTTCTTCAGCTCTATTTAGAGTGTGTTTTTCAATTAAATTTGTCTCAATCTGTATTATTTTGTTGGCACTGTAAATTGAGATACCCAGGTAACTGAAGCTCTTAAATCCTTTGATCTTATCTTGTAATCTGCATAGTATATAGCTCTGTGTAAATATGCATGGTAATATATCCACTGTATTCACTTTTTTTATTTTTTTTTTTTTTTTTTCAGAAAATGATGAGGAAATTACCTTCGACCCTGGCGATATAATCACTGAAATAGATACCTTTGATGAGGGCTGGTGGAAGGGGCGGAGCCCTGACGGCAGGTTTGGCATGTTCCCTGCTAACTATGTGGAGCTTATTGAAGACTCAAGTGAAGTATCTCAACAACCAGAACCACCCGCCGCTGAGGTACAAGTATTATGGGCCTGTTTCACTTGCACATCATTTCTTTTTTTTTTGGTAGCAAGGGTTCGTTATCAACAGCTAGATAGATATTCTGATTACTTCAAAGCAGTAGACACAGAATTACACAGGGATCATATAATTTCTCTTACCATATTTAACCCTTTCCAGCCTAACATCAGTATGCATATTCTCCACACTTCTCTCTAGATATTTCCTTTGGTATTGGCATGGAGAATTTGTCAAACAATCAAAAGCTTCTTCACTTCACAATCATTTCCTTCATTCTTGCAACTTTATAAAGTTTATTTAGAGGTGATACTGTAAGAAGAAACTAGATGGCAGTCACCATCAGGGGTTAAAAGAGTTAAGAACCCTTTCAGTTTACATGAAATAGTTAATTGGAAGTGTGAAAATTAGCTTACACTGTAATTGTGAGGGCTACTTCTTGTTGTAATGATTATTTGGATCAATATCAGTATCTGGGCAACTGCCCACCTACCCCTCCCCCAACATTAACCTCAACTTGTTGTCAATTGACTGTTGTTGAGTTAGGGGAGGGGTAGGTGGGCAGTTGCCCAGATACTGATATTGATCCAATTATTTTATTAAAAGACATGATCTGTAACTTTACCATTCAATTTTTGTAAGAGGTAGGGGTGTGTCCTTTAACAGGTTAACCCCTCAGAGTGACTAACAACAAAATTCTCCTTAGTAAAGTAAATGGTTTGAACCCAGGAGTATCAGTAGTTCGTATAGTGTGATCGTCTGGGTGAGTGTAGTTCTGAAAAGAACTGTTGTTGGTGACTGACATTTCGACAACCTGTGCGGAAGTCATCTTCAGAGTCAAGTGAAGAGTAGTTGTCAGTCGATGATGTTATAAAGTCTGGTCTGTTGAACATGATTGGTCTGTTTAGCCGTGATGTGATTGGCTGGAAGACTCGTGTAGAGTTTGTTAAAAGTCATTGGTCGGTTTCAATCCGTCTATTGTTTGTCGGTCTGTTTGTCGGTTTGACAGACCGACACTATATGAAAATTCTCCTTACAACATCACTCCTGAATCACACATTAACGTCACAAGAATAAGGGAAATGATCACCAAGAGACTCTTGATTGGTATACACCTTCTCCTTGTCAGTACCATAGGAAATAGAGAGAGAGAGCAGTATGGAGAATACTCATACTGATTTTAATGTGTAAAGGCCAGCTTGTACCAATTTGTTAAGGATGATGATGATGATGATGATGATGATGATGATGATGATGCCCGTGCTTAATCCAGCTTCTCTATAAACCAAGGTGTTATCCATGTGTATTGCCTTGATATCAACTTGATATCTAATGTTTATGTAGTATTTATTTATTAATGTGTATGATGCTTACACCACACTTAGACCTCATTGCCTTGGAGAGACATGTAACTAAGTATCTTGTGCTTGTAGGAGGACAGAGGTCTGCAGGCAAGAGCTGTTTATGACTACCAAGCAAGTAAGTGAAAGTACTTCATTTGGTCATTTCTAATGGTGTGCTTCCTCAAATAATGCATTTTCAGATTTGATTGTTTTGAGGAGTCTGGTTTTTGTCTTAATTGCCTCACAAAAAATGGAGGGGTTAGCAATGTCTTGGAAACTCTGGAAAAACCATAATTTTCAAGAGTTCTTTTTCCATGCCTTGAAAGTCCTTGAAATTCTACTTGGATCAATATGATCATTGATTTCCTTGGATGTTGATCAATGCTCTTTTTACAAACTAGCTCAGTACTAGATCAATAAAATATTTGTATTGACTAGAATCATGTATTTGAGCAACTAAATTCTGCTATTTCAGAATGGATGTAATAAAGCACTAACTGAACTTCATATCATGCAATTTGGTCTAAAATCATACTTGTGATTTTTAAAACAAACTCACACTGTACACTGTTTTGATTTTGAAAACATGTGAATGATTTTAGACCTAATAACATATTACATGAAAAAATTATCCACTTCTGATAGTTAGAAATGAGTGCATTTTTCATGCATTTGCAAGAGTGCAAATTACAATTTAATACAGCGTGCTGTCAAAATTTCATCTGTCTTGGCCTTTTTGTGATGTTTTTTTACATGTAAATTATTAATAAGTGATAACATGATTTCCCATGCAATTTGGGGTAAATATTTCAAAGACCACAAACTGCACAAGAAAAATTCACTTGTGCTTATTAACACCACATTGCACATGAAGTCATGTTATTACCTACACAAATTGCATTCCACTCACTTGAATGACCATTTATTTGTTTATTAAAGCTATTACATGTACCTGTTGAACAATTACAGAAGTTAAACAATGTATGGTCCTAAGGGAAACAGTTAGTTTTGTTTCCTGGAGGGTCCTGATCAGGACTCCAGGGAAATCAAAACTAACTAGTTTCCCGGGGGACCATACATTAAGTGCTTAGTTGTATATTTAGACTTTCCCTTGAACAATCACATGGCCAAAACATACCGTTGTATTTGGCACATGGGCAACAAGTGCATAACTGTATCCTGGTCGGGATACATTTTAATTTGATCAAGGGCACATGACCAAGAATCAACCAATCACAGTGCCTGTTTTTTGTTGAGTGAAAGTCCAGGTTTGTAACAAGAGCTACTGTATCCCCTCCGGGCTAGTTTCTCATTGTGTCTTTCTTTTTCATTACACCAGGTGATGAAACAGAGATTTCATTTGATCCTGATGATATTATCACAAATATTGAACAAATTGATGACGGATGGTGGAGAGGTGTTGCTCCCGATGGCTCTGTTGGATTATTTCCAGCAAATTATGTGGAAATTATCTCTTGAAAGAAATGACTCCTTCCTGATCCTTTTCTACAAGATTTTGGTTTAATGAAATAATTGATTGCTAGCCTTTTGAAAGATTGGAAGACCATACTGCATGATGTTAACCCTTTAACTCCCAGAAGTGATTAACAAGTAATTTCTCCCTGTAATCCACATTATCCTGCAAACTGGTAATGAGAATATTCAAAGTTATCAAGTTGTTCTTTTGATCTAACATCAAATTCTCATAACCAATTTACAAGGAAATGTGTTGCAGCTAGAGGGTAGAATTAATATGCAGATCTTGGGAGTTTCAAGGTCTAATTAATTTCTAGCCATATTTCTCTGTCCACTTTTTGATGGAACTGTAAGTACTAAATCAGCCATTAACATAATTATCTTTTATAAGAATGACGGCAAAAATTAAGAATGCACCATTATTGGTACAATTTTGTATGTTTTTGTACTATCTTTTTTGGTATCTTTGTTTCTTACAACGTCGAATTGAAATGGGTGAGGTATGCAATAATGGTGCACCTCTATGCAAAAAGGAAAAAATAGAAGGAAAAAAAAAGAATTGCATTACTATCATGATGCATAGAAATCTTTTTAACTATTTGTTTTCATCAAGAGTTGAGGTAAATTATTACTGCTTTTCATGGTAGTGATTATTAGCTGGAGAAAGGTACATGTGACAACCTGTATAGTTCTCTAGAAATAAGAATCACCCATATTGTTATCAGGAACAGTGATGTTCTGTCATTGGTAGAAGGCCATGGCCATTTTCATACAGCAATAGGCTTCCTGTCACTTATAACGGATGGAGCACCCACATCGCACCATACACCAAATGCTACTGGTTAAGTAAAACTTGAGAGTAAGATGCTAGTAGCAGTGGGATTGTGGATTTATACTCTTCCTAAATGAACAGAAACACATAATGTTGTTTCATAAAATGGCCAGAGATTGGAGTATAGAAGTAATCTAGCCACATCACATGTCATATATTGGTTTTTGATTTTAGTTAAGAAAAATACAGCTTACTTAAGTCATGTTCAATATTAGCACTTATGAAAATGTTCATTTTTTGAGTCTATTGCCTTAATCTTGTCAACTCCTGTACTGCTGCATATAAATTATTAAATAAATTAATACTAGGAAGCAAGTGAATTTGTAGTTAACTAAGTGAAGTAAGAATGATAAGAATCAAACAGTGCAAGGTAATAATGAATTAAATTTTAAGCTTTATTTTTCTGTTGACAGTCAAGATGGCAAAGTTTGGAGATTTGTATTTTAACAGTTAAATGAAATTTTATTTCATGAGAGATTGCAGTTACAACTTTGTGTGAAAAAGTAAAGTCATATTTTAGTACAGAATTAGAAATTTGCTTTAAGTGTAAAGACTGTACTTTCTCCCTTTCCAACAAATTGCTTGATAGTTGCTGGGTATACAAGTTCACATCAGCCATTGATCCAATCTCTGATAATTCTAAACTTACCCAGATAAAGGAGCAAAAAGAGGTGATAGGAGGGGACCTCTTATTAAAAACTATAAATTATTACTCTTGCTCTGTAACTTATAAATTTCCCAAACCACAATTGATTGGTGATCAGGGCATTCATTAATAATAGGGGCCTTAATCCTCAATGGTGAAATTCGTCAGAACACAGTTTACATTGTACAAGTTGCATCACCATCTTATAGAAACATAAAACTTGCAAACCACCCTTAGTACAATTACTCTTTTCAGCACTCGCTGTTGTGCGCAGTTCCACAAATGCGACTCCAACAGTGCCCAGTCTTACTGTCACAGTGTACCATTTTCATGTTTTGCCACCCTTAGCTTGTCTTTCTTGGTAAAGCATGTAAAAAACTCCTGCAACAACAGCCATTAGAGTCCCTCCTTGAGCAGCAACACGTGCCCTCATCATGTATTGCTGCATTTTCTGATCACCACGAACAAATGAAAAAAGACCATATGAAAGAGCACCAATTGTACAAAGAGCACCTGCATAGAGGGGGAAAGATTCACAGATTGTTAAATGTTGCATATGGTAAAAAAAACTATAAACATCACTGCCTTACTTACATGTAACCCTTTAATCCTAAGAGTGACAAGGTTCTCATTTCTCTTTATAATCTATCCCTTGAATTGAATGTTTAAGTCACACGAATAGAGGAAATGATCAGATACTAACAAAGTGCTTGATGGTTTTACAAATTCTCCTTGTGGCGTCAAAATCGAAAAATCTCACTCTTTGCGAGCAAATCAACTTGAGAGCTCCACACTATGGGAACCGTCAAGTTATGAGAAATGAACTGGCCAAATCCTCCTTCCAATTTTCTATCAATTCAGGTAGATTAGACGTAAATTCTTATTTTCCTATTGCATAATCATACTCTTGATCTTTTGGGTCGAGATTGATAACATCGTTCCTAAACCCAAACTCACCTACGGGAACAAGGGGATTCTCTTTCACTTTCCTCTTCAATTTCCCTGTCATGGTTTCAGGTTCACGTGTTGCAGCCCATTCGAAGAATTCATCCATTTGTTTTTGTTGACTAATACTATCCCCAGTGGCCTTCTCCTCTTCTGTCGGTTGAGGCGCCATCTTTAATTTTCAGCACCTCTAAGTATTGTGGGAAGGAATGCGCCGTCAGTCTCAGCGGCTTCTTTCCAAATATGTCCCAGGCCCTCACAGCTGTGCATTCACACGCAGGAAGTCAACATGGCGGCCCATCGTATGCTTTCACGAGTACTCGTTTCTTCTGGAAAGTTTCTCTCCTTAGGAACGGTTTCTTCGTCGTTTAGGCCGGAGGGTATGTTTAAGTCATATTTTTCCTCTTTATCTCAATGCAAGGAATTTTTGGAAATTTTACATTGCATTTGTGTTTGTTTTTGCTATTCCAACCTACCAGAGACAGTTACAAACTAAACATGTGTTGATTTTTACTGCAAATGAGTGGTAATTATTCGCGCATACTTATGAAAATTGACAGCCTCAATTCTTACGAAAGAGGCTGGAATCCTCATGAGGGGGTTTAATTTATACTTTTATTTTGATTTTGTTCGCCCTTCTTACCAAATCTGTCCCAACTGCCTTGTAAAATATTATTGGAACATCTACATCTCTTTTGCATTCACTAAACCTTTCGGCAACCGCGATCTTTTGCTTTATTTTCCTCTTAAGCTGTTAAATACACGCGTATTTCCTGGTAGATAAGTCCTAACAAAAAAGCATTTCTCGCCTGCATCACAAAAATTGGCAACTTCTTAACTTCTTGGATTGCGTTTCCAATATCAAATAAGCACTCACCCTGTAGGTAGCTTCTAGTAACTAAAAAAACTGAAGTGCGCAAGAGGAGTACAGATTATCATTTTTCTTTACAGATTTACAATGTCTAAATTCACTGTTAATCTTCATGTTTTGTTATTAATTGGTTTATTGCAAAATTAAATTACTATTTGCTGAAAATGGTGAAGTTAATTAGTGTCCAGCATCAATTAAGGGCCCACTGTCAAGGTTTAAAAAATTGAAAAGCAAAGAGCACTTAACCCTTTGCATCCTAACATCAGTATGGATATTCTCCATACTGGTCTCTATACATTTCCTAATGTGCTGGCAAGGAGAACTTGTTCTTCTGTAAATTATCGTTTCCCATATTCTCATGACCTTGATGTTTGATTCATGGGTGATATTGAAAGGAGAAATTAGATGCTGATCACTGTCAGGGATTAAAGGCTTAATTGAGTTAACACAGTATCAGGGTCAGAAACAATACAAAAAGTAACAATTCCAGTAGAATAAAAATGTATACTAGTTACAATTTTCTGGATTCTCTATCAAAATGGTTCAACCTTGTGGGCAAAAGAATATTGTTGAAATGTGTAATTGTTATCACATTATATTTTGAGAATTTAAGAGTATGTACCTCAACCTTGCACTCACCTTGTTCTTGCACAAGAAAATAACAAAATTTTTAACATTATATTTATTCAGCTTTCAAGCAACTGGCCAAGATAGGTAATTTATCAAGTTTTGTCAAGAATCAAACAGGAACATTTTCTACATGCAACATCCAAGCTTATATGTGGAAAACTGGTTTACCAGGGGCTAAGCATCAGCAAAAATATTTCTTGTCCTCACCAAGCATCTTTGCTTTTGACTCTGTGGGAAACTTTGCAAAGCAATCACTAATGGCTGACATTCCTAGCAGTTTAGTTATTCCAAAAAGATGTGTCAACAGCCGCAACAAGCATGGCAAACCAAAGACTTGTAAAGCTGTTGCAAACAGGTTTTTTAGAACAAGTGATGGAAATTTGAAATTTTGGAGGCCAGGCAAGAATCATAAGATGATGAAGAAAGGGCCAAAGAGAAGTCGCCAACTGAGAAAGCCAGTTTTGTGCAACAAGAGACAACTTAAATTGTACAACAAAATGTTAGGCCGGGGAGGACGCTAAAGTTGTTTTGCCATCCAGTTTAAAAAATAAGGTTACATGAACTGAAATTATTTGATTGTCTTGGCGGGGATAGTCATTAAAAGAACTGTTATCTGATACTGATGATGACCTCTACTTGCTGTCACTATTACTTTCAAGTGCCCTTCCCCCCCTTTTTTCAGGCAATCTCATTTTCTAAACAACTGAAGAATGTCAACAGAAGTGTCTACAAAAAAAATTTGTTTTGAATTGATCTTTATTTACTTCATAAGTTTACAATAATTATGGATAAGAAAAATATTGTACTCTAAAATTACCAAATGAAAATCAAAACCTCTGAAAGCCTCTGAATGTGCAAGTTATAATGATATGTGGTCACTGTATTTTTTAGTGTGTTTGGAAAGGTAAAATGAATTCTAAGCATCTTTCCCCTCTTCCCCCTTTCCCCCTTTCAAACCAAATTTAATTATAGGTATCTTATCTTGAATTGTTATTTTTATATTATTATTATAATTTATTTAATTACATTTCTACAACAAACATTACTGGTAAAATTGTTGAAAAAAATAGTTATTCTAGGTAACTTTAATGCACTGAACAATAATCCTCTGTCTAAAAGATTTGAGTTGTACATTTGTTGCATGGGATGTTTACAAGTTTCAAATTTGGTTTTTGTGGTTTTCCCTTCTCCCACAAACACAAAAATAAGTCAAACCAACCCCCCACTCAAGTAATGAAAATTTAAATATTATATTCCCTCAAATTTATGTTCTGCTGCTTGTGCAGAAAGTCACAAAAATTAGTTTCCAGCAGAATTGTCCGTCATCTTGAGCCGTAAAATTTCGTTCCAACAACAACAACAAAAAAGGAAGGACCTAGATAAGGTATTAGCCATGACATGAAAATGCTGCATTATTTCCATCTGGAAAGGTTTGTGAATTTCTGGTTTTGAGCCTGTAATTTTCAAGTGGCAGATTGAGGTTAAAAGAACCTCTCATTTAAATGTCACATTTGATGAATTTTGATTAAGTCATCGATCAAAACCCCATTAGTATTTTTCTGCACAGCATTCTTCCATGAAGATAGGTTAGAGTTAAGTTAGGGAATGGTCGCTTGGTGAGGACTGGAGAAGTTTGGTTGTGTCACTAATATTAACCTGATCCCTACATAAGGTGCTGTGATGTTCTCGTGGTTTCCCCTCATTGGCTGTCAATTATTGGTAGTCCCTTCTTTATACTCTGTTAGCATTGACTGATCCTCCTCCATCCCCCCTTGAAAATCATGTCATCCACCCACCCATCCACCCAGGTGTCAAACAATGACGGGTCCGTAAAGGTTCGAGTTGATCTACTGTGTAAGAGCGTCAATTTTATGATCAGGGATAGGTGGTGACTGCTGCCGCCGAAAAAAGTTTTTCAGAGACCATGCAGTCTTTACAAGCACTTCAGTCGACTGTGACAGTGTAGAGAGTGTCTCAGAAATACCCTTAATTGCACCCTGGTGGGCGTCAATCTCAACATGCCCAGTGTCGTCTATGTTGAAACAAGGTTCATTGTCATGTTCCATACCCTCGGGATTTAGTCGTTGTCCCTCAGGCGTTTTTCGTAAAAGTCCGCTTTCAATACCGTCCGTGGCACCGTGCAGTGCGCATGCCTCACTACCTACGTCATCAATCTTTATCAGGTCATAGCTTATTGCAAGGTGATTTGGGTTGTCGTTCGTCGACTGGTTGTCATCTGTGATTGACCTGTCAGTGTGCAAAGTGCAATTCAGTCAGTGCGGATAAGAGGCTTAATCTTAAACTAAACTACTGCGAATTTATGGCATTTACGTGTCATAAATCTAGCAGAAACTTGTGCTGTCATGACACCTAGGGGAGTTTTCTACAAATTATAGATTGACCCTCAACATTCTGCCAGATTTCTGATCCCTCATTGTTCATAGAAAGCGGCAGGGTTATAGCTGAGCTACGTGAAAGTTAAACTAGAAGAATTGTGCGTGTACAATGGCGTTTACAGGAAATTTGTCGAGAATGCACGGCTGCCATACTCTCTCTCTCCTATTGCATAGAGCATTCTTAGTCTCCAAACTGGCAAGACCAAGCTTGATTTGTGGTATTACCTCGGCGTTCTACCTCTTGGTTTCTCTCCACTGGATTCTAATGACTTCGTGCCTGAAAGAAGCAAACTGCACATTAACTAATACATGAAATAAGAAAATTAACCAACGTGACGCATGGGTATATATTTTTATGCTTTGCGTGTATTTTATGTAAGCCTTGTTTTTTTCGATCCCTCGCTGTTTTCTTCAAGGCCCACTAGGCCACAAGTTCTCTGCTCGAATTCACGGATCTGCTTGATAAAGATTTGAGCTCGGCCCAGTTGTTCAAAAGGCGGAGAACGCTATCAAACAGATAAATCACTATCCAGCGGATGTGGTAGCAAAACGTACTGAGCTATCCATCTGAGAGAGATCGATCTAGTGAATAGCGTTATCCAACCTTCGATTTACCAGGATCTGATTATGGATGTAAGCGTAGGTATTTTGTAACTGCTCGGCATCCTGCTCGGGATCATTCAGGTTGCTGCATTACCGTACGCATTCGTAGAATCGCCGCATAAAGATCTGGAGAAAGATACATGCTTCCTGAACAAGTCCCCATGGATCACAAAATTAAGAACTTTAATATTCATTCGGTGTGCAGAAAACTCTGAATGAACTTGACTATTTGTCGATTAAATTGGTTTCCTGAAATTAAATTTACAACTTACGCCTTCCAGCTGACTTCTTCGGCGACAGTGGTAGACTCGTTAGAGTGTTTGGCCTTTGTAGGGATGTCTTCTTTTCATTCTGTGAAATTGAGGATTCAAACACAAAGTTTAATAGATGTGAGAAGTATTTGATTTTCAAGTTAAATCCCAAGGAATGCTCCTCTTTAAACAGCTTGAGGATCAGTATGGTTATCTCTCAATCTCTAAGCTACACAACAAAATAAAACGTGGTGCTTTTATATCTCTAGTAATGTACATTCTTTATTCATCACTTTTTGCGATCTTTCAAGAACCTCTTACAACAACGAGTTCGATGTCCGTTCGGATTTATGGCTTAGGCGCGGGTCGTAAGTCCGAACGGAAAAACAAGGTTCTATAGTTTACGATATGGACCGACAAAACAAGGTTATTGAGATATTTATTATCTCTCTGGGTTGAAATAGAGGGGAAAGATTTGATCCCCATCAAAATGCTGAATTTAGCGGACGACAGAGTGAAATATGGCTGGCTGAATTGACCAATCATGGCGCAGGTACTAATTGAGAGATGAAAAATCCCGGCTACTCTTCGGCTTTCACTGGTCACTCTTATGACCCGCGTTCTGTTTAATTTAGTGAAACATTTGAAAAAATGTGACTACCTTTACCTTTGGAGAGGAACTTGATGTGCTCTTTCCAGAGGATGACGAGTCGTTCCCAGCTTTGAGATTCTTTGTGATCATCGTTTTTCGACTGTTAACTGCAGGGGCTCTCTTTCTTCCACCGCCGGCCGATGCTATCTTTTTATCCATGGATTCTCCGACTCCGTTTCCATCGCTGCGATTCATCAGTTTGTCATCTAGTGACGAATCAGACATTTCGCTTTTACACTCCTCACTGCTTTGTGTCAAGTTGGAAAGTCCACGTGTCAAGCTAGCTTTCTTCAAAGAAAGAACCTCCAGCTCCAAATCATCCTTTACTATACTTGTCATGGCAAATTCCCTTTGAAGATTTGCATACTTCACTTTTATTTCAGTCAATTCTTCATCTAAATTATCCTTCTCGATAAGCACCTCATTTAAAGCCGCCTGTAACTCGGCCCGTTCTTGTTTTACTGACACGAGTAGCGTTGCAACAGTTTTCTTGTCCAAAGAAACGTCTTGTGTTGCATCTGTGAAGGAAAGCTTAAACTTCAAAGCTTCCAAATCGCTTTCAAGTTGTGCGATTGTCTCCTTCAAACTATTGACTTCCTCTTGAAGAACAAGATTTTCTCCGGATATGGCTCTTAATTCATTGAGGTAGCTTTTCTCTGTGATTTTTTTTACGTTTATTTTTGTCTCGTTTAACTGTTTTTCGTCTTTGGAATTTTTAGCCCATTTTTTCAATCTGTCTTTCACTCTCAAATGTTCGTCTTCAAGGCTTACTAACTGCTGTACGCAGTGTTCAATACTCTCTAATCGAGATTTATCAGCGTTTGTATCGTCAAGTTCTCTTTGAAGCCGTTCTTTCTCAGCCTCTAATAGGCCAATCTTGCTCTCCAATTCTTTTGTTTTCTCTAAGTCACAGAATGGTTCTTGGTCATTGTTAGCTGAATAAGGCCTCTCGCCATTTTCCGAATGGCCGTTTCTTTGCCCTTCCAAACTACTTATCTTCTCTTCCAGAGCAAACTTCTCCTTGTAAATAATCAACAGTTTTTCCTGCAAGTCAATGATCCTCTCCTTCGCCTCCGCTAGCTCCATCTCCAGCCGCACTGTTTCTTCGTAACAGCTGAACGAAGCTCTTCGTTGTCCGGAATTCCTCGGAGAAACTCGTACCGTCGAAAGCTCTGCCTCAAGCTTCGTGCTATCTTCGCGCAGTGACGATAATTGAGAACCGAGATTTCTTGTTTGCATATTCGACAGTGTGAGCTCCGCTTTAAGGCGCACAAGTTGTTCTTTGGCGCGCGTAAGCTCGGAGTTAAGTTTGTTGTTTTTCTTGCTCTTTACCCGATTGTCTCCATTTTTTAAGCCATCCTTAACCTCTTGCTTTGATTGTAAGCTGTCTTTTTTTAACGCTGGCAGTCCCTGCAAACATCTTAGACTGTTGATCTCTTTCATCATATTCTGTTTATCCACCTCGAACTCGTCTAACTTTTCCTGAAGTAGCTCCTCATAATAAGCTTTGGTCTCCAAGAGTTCTGCTTCCACTTTGCTCAACCGAGCATCTTTCAACTTCAATAACGTTTTTCCTTCCTCGAATTCTTGCGTTTTTGCTTGTAACTGCCTCTCAAGAGTCGCCTTCCCTTCCATTACCGCGGCAATTTCGCGCTTGGCATTCTCTTGCTGTTCTTGCAAGCTTTCCTCCAGAGCAATTTTCTGATCAGTTAATTCAGCTTTCTCTTGTCGAACGTCACTTACTTCCATGTTCAACTTCCTTAGTTGCTCTTTCAATTTAATATTTTCCAAGGCAGAGCGACTTAATTGTTCTTCTAAAGATGAGCACCTTTCGTTCATTTGCGTTATGTTTGTAGTTAGTTGCTTCTCTCTCTCGAAGAGGTCCTCAAGTTCTTTTTCATGCATCTTGTTAGCATTTTCTTTATCTTTCTCTGGATCACTGTACTTTCTTTTCAAAGAATCCAATTCGTTCATAAGCTTCTCATTCTCTTGACGAACTATGGACAGTTCATCCAACTTTTCTTTGACAATACTTTCCCAAGAGTTTTCATCCATCAGAACTCTAAGTCCATCTGCAAAATCTTCGCCTTTTGCGTTCAACTGTTCTTTCATACTGTTCACCTCATCCGCTTGGAATTTCGAATCTGCCAACTCGCTGGCAAGATTTCTCTTCTCTTCATTGATTCTACCCAGAATGTCATCGAGCTCTGATTTCATTCTGGCGTTTTCAAGGATGGCAAGGGACCATTCTTCTCCGAGGCGATGGTTGATAACAGCTCTCAGAGAAGAAACATCATCCACGTTGTTTGACTGGGCTGCAAAAGCCGCCTTTTCCAGCGACCAAGATTGGTCGTCATACAGTGAGGACAAAATCGCTTGAATTACTCCATCGCGGTCTGGAAATTCCTTTGTCTGATCTTGCAGAAGGGGATTCGTGAATTCATATGGATCGACCAAATCTGTTTGTGTACCCCTTTCACTTTGCAAATATGCGTCCTTTAGTTTCTTTAATTCTTCCTGCAACGCAAAGGAAAAAGCAAAATTGACTAACGCTATCAAAGACCAATATTGCCAACAAGGCATTTTACATATTTACAGATCTTTCAATTTCTTTCCGGTTTTGAGAAGGGATAAAAACTGGGTGTTATATAAGAACAGTGAAATTGATCGAAAGAAACTCTGGAAAGAATAATCGAAAAGTTAGAGAAAGGTGAGAAATGAAAGAAAAGCTAGGTTAAAAAAGTCCGACCGCGCGCCGATTTCCCATGCAAGATTTCAAAGAAAAACGTAAGGAACTGTCTCGCAAAGAAAGTGAAAAAAATTGAAAAGTTTAAAGAAATTTGTAAAAACTAAACAAATGTAGGGAAAATAAAACTCCAAACTTTTTGAACACAAAGCTTATTCAAGTAAGAGTATCCTGTTGATTGACAAGTTCTGCTTTAAGATTTCCAAAAAAATTTATGTGCTTTTAAAATCACCGTGACTTACTGGCTTGTTTAATTGGTTGTTACTCACGTCAGACACTGGTTTTGATAGCCTGAAAGTACACCACATGCGCATTCGTGTGACCGCTGTGTCAATCCGGGATTGTATCGGTTGGCTTCACTTCGCTTTGTGATTGGTCAAAACATTTACGCTCTCATTCAAATTAAAGCCAATCGTGACTTAAGCAGTTTTCGTATACTTTGAGTTCTTGTGTTTCTCGTTATATTTCCTTAGCTTTAATTGGTTGAAGTGAATAAGTATGTCTTGGGTCGAGTTAAATGCGGTTACCTTGCCATAATTATTTTATTTAGTGCCTTTTCTCTTGTTTTGCGGATAAACTTTTAAGACGAAGTCACCATCCAAAAGACTAAGTAAGCTACGGATGTAAGTATGAATAAACTATAATGCGCAGGGGAAGTTTTATTCACAACATTTCAAATAAACTATGATTCATACAAATATAAACAATAGACTAAGATTATGTTACAGTAATACAAGAATATTTCTTTCTTTTTTTATTTCCTTTGTTTTATGAAGGAATACAGGTCATCAAAAACTATTTAACTAGAGATAACCCCCCCTCCCCCCCAAAAAAATCATCCTTCTTGCTTAACCACAAAATGAAACCAAAATATTAAAATAAAAATGAACATTATAAGTCTATTTTAGCTATGTTTTTAAACGTGATACATTCATAAAGTGCAAGAGTTATCCCATTGAATCTAAGGTGTGCTCGTAGTAGGCTTTTGTCTTGTGTTTGTAATTCAATTTCCCATTCTCGAGCATTGCGGCACTCAGCGTGTGATACATCAGTCTTTTGTTGAGCCAGGCTGAAAGATCCCTCGTTAGTTGATGCTTGCATTTGACTCCAGAAAAAAGCTGTACTTGATAACAGTCATTTGCTCTCTTTGTGCGAATATACTTCAGAAAATAGCAGTGCTGGAATCCGTGGACAAACTCCATTTGAATGCAGATGCTGTCACAGATAGGTACGTGTCCCAATCTGTGACGAATTACGCCATGTAGATGTTGATTTTTCAAAGTTATCAGAGGGTGGTTGAGGAATTTGGCATGTCTCGGAAATGGTCCTGTAAGTAGATCCGTAATACGTGCGAAATAAATACAATCTTTTTCATTAGTGCCATCTTGTTTGCGACGTCTGAACTACAAAGGAAAGCTTCAAGCTTTGCGCGTCCTTAGTGTTATCCTTTCCCATAGCCTCCTGGGAGAGCCCTGATAAATTGATAACACCTGGTCTTAAATCCTTCCAAAAAAGTCTGCGTCATTGCAATTTTCACTTCGTCAAAAATGTTAGATACAACATTTATAACAGAAATGATTTCACAGAATTTTTTATAAACGACTAAAGAGTGACTTGGACTTGCTTTCGTTACACAGTCGTCGTAACGAGCGGAAGCAATCGATTTATCGTTGAAAAGGATTAACTGACTTAAAAAGTCCGCTGTAAAGTTATACAGTTGCCATGAAGACTGGTCTGTCAGATTCGTTTCCATCTCCAGCGATGGTTTGGTAGTCTGTCTTTGCAATATCACAAAAGTCCAGTAGAGACATGTCGCATCATGTGGCCTGCCTGGGCAGTCGATAAGTCCGGTATTGTTCCATTTGTCGTTTGGCTAACAGTATACGTATACCTTCAAAACAGCTGCGTTATTGTGTTCTGTTTGCATCAGATCTCAACGTCATTACTGTCAAACTCGTTTGTGCTGTGGGAAAATCTGTGACAAAATTTTGTCCTATTCGTCATGATGAGGTCTTAAGATTATCTTTCACAGCAAATTCTAAGCTGGCGTCCACTTTGTCGTTAAAAGTACATTTCTGATATTGTCTCATTTAATGTGGCCACTGAGAGATGATTCAAGGTATAAGGATGGCTAGAATTGATGACCGCTGATCATAAACCAGGAGAGCCAGTGAGATTGTAAACAAATGAAATTACAGAAAGTTGTCATACCACTCACCTTAACAGACGTTAACTCAGATTTCAAGTTTTCTTTGTCGTTCTCCGACAGTTCGAGCTTCTCTTGTAGTTTGGCGTTGTTTTCCAACAGAGTTGTGACATTTTCCTGCAGAATGGTGCTCCTGTCTAAGTTCTCGTCGTTTCCCATGTTTACTTTTCGCTCAGTGTTCGTCATATTGTAAAGCTGAAAAACCGAAGAGAGATCATCCTCTAGTCGTTCCTTACTCTTCTTTACATCACATAACGAAGTCGAAGTCTCGTTTAGTTTTCCGTTCAGCTTCTCAGCCTCTTTCTGCAGAATCTGGATCTGTTTCCGCAGCGTTTCGTTTTCGTCTTGCAAGACGTCTTTCTGCTTTTGGATGACGTTACACCTCTTGATGACATCATTGTTTTCCAAAACCAACAAGGCGCCTTGTAGCGCTTTATCTACGATCACGTGACTGTGACAGTGGTCAAGAAGGCTGAGTGCGTCAGCAACATGTGATAGTTCTGCATTCTCTTTAAAATCTAATGATAAAATTTATGTAAGAATACTCTCGTACAGCTGTGTGAGACATTTGATTAATACGTGGTGAAAACAGGATCTACATGAGTTTCCTATTCCCGTTGTACTTCTATTTTTTAATTTCCTCTCGATCTGCTTCTGTTTGTCGCAATCTACTATGATTGGTGCGATCATGACATGTGCAAAATATCTGCTCTTAGTACATTTGGCTATTTAGAGTTATCTCTAGTATTGCACCTATTTTCTATGAAAATGCAGCTAATGTATTGTAAAATATCTTTAGACAACCGTGTAAGACAGTATGCTCTTAGCACTGAAGATAACGTTAGGTGTACATCGTACGACACGTTCTCTTCCATTCGCAGACATGGTAAAATGCTTCGTCAGAATATTTAATCCGGAAAAAAATTTATTAAGACGAGACTGAAAAACTGTGAGAACATTTTCAGATACCCACCTAGCAGTGTGCCTTCTTGCTTTAACAATTCTTGAATCCTTCCGTAAATGTCTTGCCTCGTGTTTAGTGGTGTGCTTTCATTTCCTACATCAAGCTCAAATACCTTCGTTAGGAAACCTAGCGCTTTGTCGTCCATAGATTTCTTAAGTGAAACCAGCTTGTCCCTAATATTGGAACTCTCTTCGCCATCTCCAAAATTTTGCTCAGTCGATAGGATAGAGCTTTCGGTACTCGTTTTGGAATACGGAAGAATTTCGCAAAAACCTGTCGATGCAACAACCTTGTCATCATCAGTTTTATTCGTCATGTACAATGAAACTTCTTCAGAGGCACTCAACAATCTTTTATCGGCATTTAACAATTCTTCACATCCAACCAAACAATTCAGACTTCCACCATCCTCCAATATTTTTTCTCCTTTAGAATTCATCTCATTCAAATAACTTTTAAGCAGGTCTAAAAGCAAGTCTGTGTTTTCCAGAATTTTGCATTTTGTTTCAGCCCATTGGGCACAGATATCCTTGAGACTTATGTCGTTTTCCGAGAGGTGATGACCAAAGTCTAAGGGCAGATCCCTCAGTGTGTAAAACAGCTGCATAGAGATAATATCTGCCAGAAGAGTGCTTCTTGCTCTGAGCATGTCTTCTTGTAGTTTGCCTTTTGCCTTTGTTATCTGACTTTGTAGGTTTTCTGTTTGCGTTTTCTCTTCGTCTAATCTGGAGTTGAGATTTTTGACGTCGCTCTCCAAACTAGATTTCTGAAGAGGGAAAATAAAACGATAGGTAAATTTGTGAAGTTCACACAATTAAGAACTCGTTTTTTTTTTAGTGAAATCAATTTTACTTGTTCCGCTCTCAAACGTGAAGCTGAGGCGTGTCACCTTCCCTTTTAGCAGAGCTCGCAGCGAGCGGCGAAGCCCCATATTTATTTGTTCGTTTGAAAAAGGTTTGGAACAGAATAGTAAGCACGCGCACAACACAGATCGAGTGTACGTCACGTTTCGAGTGTAAAGTTGAAGCTGCATTTCGATAGCTTATACATAAGTAATTTCAGCGACAAAAAGAATCGCCTTGAATGGAAATAATCATAACATAATAGCTCGCCAGAGTAGACATAAACCAAATAACAAGGGAGTGGCCAAAATGGAAAAGGAATGATTAAGGACTGAGAACACTGACACAGATTTACAGTCTGGAGGCCACCACTACTGAATCAGTTGTCAGATCACGTCGTTATCACCAGCTTTACGAGCAAATTTACGAAACCTTGAGGCTGCAAAGAGTCCAGCTTTGTGCTTTACATCTCCAACTTTTCAAACCATTTGAAAAAACAATAGTCATCCCAAACCAGACTAAAGACGTAAAGTAATAATATTATCCACCTCCTTTTCGTAGAGACTCTTTACAGATGCCACCACTCTGTCGGCCTCTGCTATGGTATTTGTCACTGTCATCTCCGCCTCGTGTTTAAGTCGGTCTATCCTGTTTTCGAATGTTTGCTTTAGATCCTCAAGATCTTTTTCTTCAAGGAAAAAGTTTCAGTTAAGAAATGGTTATCTTAGCTTCAATGTTATGTTTTTAAGCACTCGTAACTATTATCTATTTACAATTAGAATCCTTGAGATAAAATTATTCCCGGTGTAGTATACGGGGCACTCTAGCACACAGCCAATCAGAGGAGAGATTGGGCGAGAGCTTGAGCCATCTTGGGTGCCAATGATTGGTTCGCTGGTTAATTTTTAGCACGTGGTACAAAACACCTCTCTGATTGGCAGAGTTAAATTGTGCTGAATGAGAAACTGGCTGAAGTTAAATAAACGTTTTCCGAGTTTACCTCTCTTATCCACAATTTTCGAGAGATCTTCACTAAGTCTCTTGTAATCAACCTGCAATGTAAATAAAAGGTGGAAAAGAACTTAAGAAAGCTCTGCATCGACGCGATAGAAAGTAAGAATAGAAAATGACCTTACGTGACGTCTCAAGAGATTAAGGATTTGTTGTTGATGAACATGGAAACACATTGAGAGACGACAATGAAGATATATCATTCAAAAGGTTGTTTATCGGGTCTTGATACTGAGTCGGGGAAAATTAGCCCAATAGAGCCGCGAAATGCAAGTCTTTGGAAAGTTTCCCATGATCTCCATCCCATCCGTATATCTTTAAAACATTGTATTTCTCATCTGAAAAGTCAAGAACTCTTCAAAGAACTTGGAAGGTCAAGCTAAAGGATTTGTAACCTGCACGTTCATTAAGTGTGCATCACAAAAAAATTCTCGTTCAATGGCGACTACGTTCTCGTACAAGGTAAAGTTGACGTAGCGCGCTCTAATAAGCAGTTTTTACTTGTCTAAACGGAACAATACACCAACGCATATGATTCTTTGTAACATAACTCTTACCTCAACGTTAATGTAAGCAGTATTTGTGATCTTCATTGCTCGGGATCCAAAAAACAAAGTACTTTTAGTCTCACTAACGTCACTCATGGTTGGAGAGACACACACCTGACACAATCATAAATAGTATATTTAATGAGCGCGTCATTTCAGTTTCACTGTTAAAGGGAAATTTGTTTTTGTTCAAGCCATGATTTGTAAACCATAATATGACCTAAGAAGGTTCTCATTAACATTGAAACAGTGTGCTCGTGTCTATCCATCCTGCCATCGCCGACTTATTCACATAAAGAAGGCTATACAAGGACTCTTGAATGACTTCTAATCACAAAATCACTTCACATCAGACCTTTTTCGATCATTATCGAAATTCTCCTATCAAACATGGAGGGGCTCCGAGCGATTTCAGACGTTCTCGTGTAATTTAGGACGGTTTCGCCTAATGTAATCTGTGCGTAAATTCCGTCATTTGCTTTGATTTAATACTTACTACTAAACTGGTTTTGCAGTTTCCACCCAAACTTTCCTGAAGGAGCCTTGTTAGAGTAGAATTCCGGAATGGAACATGAGTCTTCTTCCCTTCTGCCAGTGCCTGGATGACATTTCTAAGAGCAATTACGGTGGAATAAAACTTACTCCAAGTTTCATTAAAGTTTAATCAGAAAGGAATCTTATTCAGAACAGAATGAGTAGGATGAGAGTGAGGGTTACCTCTCTTTTTTCGAGAAGATGTTCGCTTTCGGAGCGCGATCGAATATCTTCCAAGCTAAGTCGAGAGAAGCACGAACATTTCAAAAGTTCCACGTTGCTTGTCGTTATGGAACACGACACGTTATCGAACGACACCTCCGATAAAAAGGGCAGGCTCAACTAGCTTTCGCAAACACGCTTACATGGAAAATTCTATATTTTTCGTCTAACATTAAATAACTGAGCTATTAACAAAGAAATCCTCACCCCAACTCAAGCAGCGACAAGTTAATATGTTGAGCTTCACTTAGTCTTTCTCCCTCCGCCTGGGTTTTCTTGAGTCGCTCACTACCGGCTAAGTCGCACCTAAATGTACAACAAAGTGTTTTTGACTCAATAAGCAATATAGAGCGCTTTTTGATTCAGTGTAGTAAGAAGTTATCTTGATGGCCAATCAAAGCAGAGATATATGAGTCATAAATATGAGAGAGAGAAACTAAGAACTCAAAGTAAATTGCCTAAAACGCGGGAAAATGCGAAAGTCGCCATTGGTTTCAGTTCGTGATTGGTTGAGAAGATGGCGCGAGTTTTGTTGACCATTTACAGATCAGTGCAAGAAGAACCAATGCGAATTTCACAGAGATGTGTTAGTTTTGATGTTCCTTCACCTGATAATTAGATTTGTAAATTAAGTGCTCCATCCGGTAAAAATCATGACTAAATTGAAGTACTGTAGTATACATACAAATAAATTCGTCCTCTGATAAGCACATCATCATCGAAGGCCACCATTTTGGCGAACGAATCGTCTTCCGCGTCTTCATTCTAGACAAATTACAAAATTCTGATCTTAGTAAAGCAGTAGTATTTATGCTTGCAAAAAAATACGCACAGATTATTACAAATTCTCGTGGGTATGTTGCGTATAATTGATTACAGAACCAGTTGTTAAGAACACGATCCTGGTGATTTTTGCATCGTGACTAAAATCATCGCAGTAGAAACTTTCAGCGCAATTATGAGTTAAATCCCTCACGTTTTCTTAAAAACAGATATTAATTCAAGTGAACAGTCCTACCTCTTCGCTAGCCTCAGCATCTAAATCTTCCCCTGAATCCTGTTTAGGAAAAAAAGTATGTGTTCCCTTGTAAATGTTAAGTATTTTCGATCCATGTCATCATCTGAGAAACTGCGCACTTACCCCTCCAGATCCCTTTACACATCAATTAAGGGTCAGATGATATCAAGTTAGGGATAACGTTGGGTTGGAAGACAAGAAGATGTGTAATTGCTTAGATACTGACATTACATTACTAACGGTAAATTACAAACCTCACTGCTGTTCTTACTCGGTACCAGATCATCCCGAGAATCTCGTCCATTTGCACCTATAAAATGACATTTTGTCCCTTAATTACTTGTACATGATTAATATTAGAAAGAAACAGAAATTACAAGGTTTCGTTTTCTCCGACTACAAAACCTTGCGCCAATATTGAGACATGGTCTCGTATGTTTTCTTGAGCTTTTGACTTATACTACTTTGTGTACGTGAATGAGAGTGATCCTCGCAGTAATGTGCACTACTTAGGCAGTAGTGAAAATAAGGCCTGAAAAAAATTCAGGCCTGTACGGGACTTGAACCCATGACCTCTGCGATACCGGTGCAGCGCATGCACATTACTGCGAGGATCACTCTCATTTACGTCTTTATCCGCAGTTCAAATATATGACTTTCGTATATTCTTAACCGTTTATTCACTACTTTGTGTACTTAAGAATTGGTTGGATCAATCTAAGTATCTGAGTAACTGCACACCTACCCCTCCCCTAATCCAACAAAAGTCAACTGATAACAAGTTAAGGTTAGTGTTGGGTTATGGGAAGGGTAGGTGCACAGTTGTTCAGATACTGACATTGATCCAATTGGATCATGCTAAGCGTTTGTATATCGAGGTATGGACACAAGTGGGAAGGTTTTAAGAGCACAATATAGGCGTAAGAGTGGCTCGAGGCAAAGCTGAGAACAAGTCTAGCATCTAAGTGCTCTTCAAACTTTCCAGGTATATACGATCATTTCGGCCTACGCAGAGCTAAAAGCATGAACCAAAGTGATTCTTTCTCGGACAGTCTCTTGGACTCATTGGTCATGATAAGTCAAAAAAGCTGTATTGGGGATTTCAGATTCAGATAGTGATTCCGTGACCTCTGGCTTTCCTTACGTGGAGAAGAATGCAATCTTACCATGTTTAGCAATTCCCTCTGCGTTCATCTTATTCTTGTTAAGAGTTCTTTCAATCGTCAACTGACAAACAGAATGGGACCTGTAAGCAAAAGAAAACCACTTTTCGTACTCATGCGTGGTGCCATCATCTATAAACGACCATAAATTCGATACCACTAAGGTGAAACAAAATAAGTATATAAATACATAGCTTCTACCCTTACCGCTTCGTTTTCCTAGCGATCATTCTCATACCTGAATCTGCTAAAAGCCGGCTTTTCCGTTAACAAACCCATGTCAGATCTTAATTCACTCCGCCAAATCACTCACAGTGTCTAAAGACCAAATTCGGTCACGTGATTTTAAGGATCTCTCATTTGATGATTATTGATTCTTTAAAATTACTCAGTTTGTGCTAAAATGAGGATTTTTGACTTGTGGAAAATGTTAAAATAAAAAGTATAAACCTTTCCCGAGTTGATAACCCGATCTATCGATAAATTCCTTTTGACTCTTGCAATGAACTTAATATCAACAAACGAAGGAATAGAACTCATAGTGAGTGGTACCTGCTTGAGTTCCTGTTCATCTTAGTTTCAGCAAATACGAGTCTTTTCTTTCCCACGGCTAACAGATGTAACACTTCTGAGGGGCTTCGTACCACAAACTCCGAAAGATTCTCTACATAAACACCTGAGGATTGCAAACACAAAATTAAAAAACGTTTCACTTGAAATTCGACGTCAACGTCATTCGACGTTAAGTCTGCGAGCAGGCCTGCTCGATGGCTATTCAAGTTTCTTTTTTAAGTCTTTTAGAGCTAGTTTAGGGAAACCTGATGAGCACTGGATCACAAAAAGTGTATCTTCTTCGATGTATATGTCCACAAACCTTTAACTGGGTGTTCTCTCAGGCTAAGTTCCACCTTGTTCGTTGAGTTGAGAAGGTCGTATATTTTCTCCTGGTAAATTTGCAAGTACGACATTGTTACCTGCAAAGTAACACCGATATTGTCAATTCAAGCAAATACATCTTTTTTCATTAACCAAAGCAACATAACAATGCTGGGGCAAACTGTTGTCAAGTGAATGTTGTCCGAAGCCTTTTGCTGTAGGCTACGTTCTGAAATCAACTTTCGTTACTTAAATCAATTTATCTGACTAAGAAAACCATTCTGGTCCATTAGGTCACTCTGACTCATGAAATTATCACTCAATAAATATTAGTGTTTCCCGCGCTAATGAGTTTCCCGCGCTTTGGCGCAATTTGCCTTAATTGTCGTCGATATCTCATTGGCCCATTAGGTCACTCTGGCTTATGAGGTTACAACTTAATAAATATTACTGTTTCCCCTTCCGTGCTTCTCGCGCTAATGAGTTTCCCGCGCTTTGATGCAAGTCACCTTAATTGTCTTCGATATCTAATTGGTCTACTAAGTCACTCTGACTTATGAGGTTACCGCTTGATCAATGTTACAGTCACCTTGTAATCATGATAATCATCCTTTGTGATTCGTTTGAAGCATCTTTCAACCACACCAGCTGTTATCCCATCAGGTGCCATCAATGTATGGGTCTTACCTGGAATAATGATGAGGGCACGTCTATGAAAATTGTAAATCTAATTTCTACAGCAAAGACACGGGCATAGCAAAGATTTTTAAAAGGGCGGGTTACGGTTACGAATTACGTGCACCTTACGTGAGGTACCTTATACAGCTGGTCTACCCTATGAGTCAGCGGGCTCATATTCACGCGGTGGTAGAGACCGGCATATGAGGAATCTAACACTAGATTAGATTTATGCCATGCAGATTATTTGTATTCAAGTGTTTTCATCACCTGAATTATCAGGCTTGTATGTTGTTGACCAAGAGGAAAATCATTTCCTAAAGGGGAGGGGATACGAGCACTATCGAGTTTTCCTCCACCCCTCCTATCCCAGTTACACCCATGAAAGAGGACAAGAGAAATTCAAAATTCATACCTGATCCTGTCTGTCCATACGCCATGAGTGTTCCATTGAATCCATTCAAAGCAGCATTCACCAGAGGTCTGCTTATGGTACTGCACACCTTGGAAACAAGTTTTTGAAGATCGTGTTTAACAAGTTTTCAAAAACTTTTTTTGAATGCTAAAGATATTTTCTATCTGTATCTCAAAAAACAAAATATCAGCTGTATTATGTTTAAAATTTGAGCCAAAGCACCTCTGGATTTGTGGCCTCCTTTGGGAAAACATGGTCAAAATTAAAAGTCTTCTCCCAACTGTGCTTGGGATCAGTGACATGGATCTGAAAGTGGAAAGTTAAACTGTTAACAAGTTTGTACTTTTATTGACTTCAAAACCTTAAAGAACGGGCTGGTTTTTCTGCAGAAAAGTGCCTCATACAGCAAATTTGTGACCTTGTTCCACAAAACTATGATACAGTTTTCACATAGAAAAAAGATGTTTGATATAAATCAATTTTCCTGAGCATCAAGTCCTTCTTAACTTTTTCAAGTTAAAGGCTTTCTTAGGAAAAGGACAATTTCTTATTTTTCAGTTGCTGCAGATTTGCAGGGGTAGGTTTATGGTGGAGGTTCAGATCATCAATATATGTTTTAACCCAATTTACAGCATCATTCAAGTTTATTTTTCTGCTGTCCAGCTCCATTAAGACCTTATTCTTTTGAAGACCAACTAACCTCCCACATATTTCAATCCAATATCCAGTGTTAACCACTGACCTACAACACATCCCATCCTTCTTTACTATAAGGTACTGGTTAACCCTTTAACCCCTCAGAGTGACTAGCATCTAATTTCTTGTTACCATATCACCTCTGAATGAATCATTAAGGTCACAAGAATAAAGAACATGATCACCAACTACAGAAGCTTTTGATTGTTCAACAAATTCTCCTTGTCAGCACTGTAGAAAATGAACAAAAAAAAACAGTTTGGAGTACATGCGTACTGGTGCTAAGGCATAAAGGGCTAAGGCTGTACTCATTCCGTGAATCCCACTCTGCTGAAGCTAATTCTGGTTTCTGTAGCATGAAGCAGCTGGTAGTGCTGATATCCTCCGCCCCCCTTCACCCCCTCTCCTTGGTAGGATGCTAGTTCATCACAGACTACCCCCTCAAATTTTTCTCAGGATTCCCAAAAGTTCACCAGTACTTAAATACACTTCTAGCTAAAGAAAAGAGAGAGACTGTGAAGACTATGTGATCGAAGTGTCTCACCCCAAAGATACAACACAATAACATAACAGGTGTCAAACCCAAACCACTTGGCCTAGAGCCCAGCTTGAAAACTTAAAGCCACAGCATCTTCAGTACTGTAAACTTTATTTATTCAACCAATTAATCATTATGAAGAGTATCTCAAAGACCAGTAATCATAATACTTCAGAAGTTCTGTATACCATAGTTGGTCCATCAGGTTGCCATAAGTTTCAAAATTTTTGCATAAATATGCAAAAATCACTTTGTATATTGCAAATTTCAATTGAACACTCAAAATGTTTAGAGAAATCACCCTCAATTTGGAATTAAAATAAATCCTTCTACAACAAAAGGAAAGACTACTCAATCCATTGAACTAATTTCGAAGTTAGAGTCCATCCAAAGACATGCCACAAAGTTCATCTTATGTTTGCCATTCTCAACATCCATAGATTAGAGGGCACAACTCCAATCACTGAAAATTCTACCCATCACATATTGGCACAAATTTTTGGACATTATATTCTTCTACAAGGCTATGCTTAACTTTGTCTCTTTAAATGGTTCTGTATTACCTGTAAAGCGTGTTGCAAGAACCATGCACTACACTAACGCTGTCATCAAATTTGTTCCGAAAAAATGCAAAACTACTACCTATCAAAAGTCCTTTTTTATCAGAACTTGTCAGATTTGGAACAACTCAGCCAGTATCATTAACATTGAAACCCAAACTCTGAACTCATTTAAGACCGTAATGTTTAACTTCTATTTGGCCAGTTTACTTCTTCCTTACAATCCAAATAATCCCGAAACCTTCAAGTCTATTTGTTTAAAATGTAATACTGTCCATACACTAAATTTTAAGATTACTTGCTGCATATAGATTGATAGCTTCTTTCCTCCTCTCTTCTTGTCTTATTTTCTTTTATATTCTGGGACCTCTGTAATTGGCTACGCTGTTGCAGTGTCCCTGCCATTTTCTCTGGTTTTTTTTTGTTTTTTTTTTTTTAATCTACTTATTTTGATTGTTGTTGTAAGGCAAAGTTAATAAATAAATAAACAAATAAATAAATAATTGGTACATGCACATGGTAAAAATGGCACTAACTGAAAATCTCAAGTCATATCAGATATATTTGAGATTTCTCTCATTTAGAGGGATTAGTGCATCAAAAGAAAAGTGTGCATTTTTAAAAATTTCCTACCCAAGAAAAAATTATCACTTCATAAAGCTCATCACAGATGGTATAAATTAGATTTTCCTCTATATTTTATATCAAAGTTATGTAAGTGAACTTTCAATCCCATTTTTGCTTTAGCAGTTCATCTTATTTCTGAGTAATAGTGGACTTTTTTGGCATTTACATAAGATAACACGTAAACATCTGAATTGTCACCAGCATGTTTCCATGATCTCAAAATAACACCCCAATCAACTGTTGATGTAAATATCTAAGCTCTTTTAAAAACTTTCAACAAAACGAAAGTGAAATGTTTTAACTGAATCGCCGTGATATCTATTGACATAGAAGGTAGAAGTATCCTGTATGAAAAAGTTGTAAAATCGGATGTTGCTGACGCAGTTTTCAGATAGTATTTAGTTCTGAATACCATGAAAAAAAATCAACAACAATGACGATTCTAATTATACTACTGTTAATGCTGACAATCTTCCTTGTGCTTACAATACGTCAAACGGGAGATTAGCGCTCATTTCACCCCTGTAACGAGCAGAATTCTTGCCAGTTTCGTCGATTTTCACTTCAAACAAAATTCCCTCGGGCAGACGTTTTGATAAGCACTTCCAAATGTACACAGCAATATTCTCTGCTGTTGAACACACATCGCTGAAGTATGGTACGTCCAAGTCAAGATTTTTATGATCCAAAGGTTCCAAAACGCTACCCATGTGCGTTTTTAAGTCCGTCAAGTTCATGACCATGCCAGTTAGGGGGTCCACTGGTCCACAAACTGTAACCTTCACAGTATAATTATGCCCGTGTCCGTTCTTGTTATTGCACTTCCCAAATATTCGTCGATTCTCTTCGTCGCTCAGTTTCGTACTGTGTAAACGATGACTCGCACTAAAAGTCTCTTTTCTCGAGATGTAAACCACCGGATGTGTATTTGATTCCTTTCCGTTCATGAGTTGATCGCTTAGAGCCATTTCAAGCGCCAAGAATTACATATAACCACAAAGAAAGACTCGAACACGATGGAAACTACACAATTCGCCTCTGGCGAGTTCCTCTTCAAATAACTGCCCGCTGACCAAATATCTCGTTCACACGCGCGTGACGAACATTATATTTCAGTCATAAGTCTATATTGATTGTTTTGTCTCGTGATATTTGTTTTGGCTGAACATGTTGCGTTGTGAATCCAACCATGTAATTGTCACGTATACAAGACAGGCTTCTGCTCCCATGTTTTAGAAATTTATTTTATGACTATTATGCTGTCTGACCCGAAATCGCACGAGTTTGAGAAAAAAAAACTGACCTGACGTCGTCGACTTACGCAGAAGTGTCTTCACAGAATCTCGCGCGTTCTCGCGGGTCGGAAACTCACTCCTCTCGAGGGTAACATGTACGTGCAACTCAGTCAGAAATTGAGTGATACCGATTTTAGGAATCATTACCTGTAAATAAGAAAGAGGTGGCATTTTACACTCACCTTCGAGGAGAGCTCTTCAACATTCACAGCAATCTGATCTTTCCGACTGTTTTCATTCGGTCGAGGAGGACGCACTCGCACGAAAACTTTCACTCTTCCGGAATCTGTGACGCAAAAAAGAAAAACTTGCATTGTCACCTTCGACTACAGAAACGATCTTGGCCATTTTTAGTGCTTTATATCTGACTTAAAACTATAAACGATTATTACTTACACTGAAAAATTAGACAATAAATATAGCTGAAATTAATCATAGTGACGCGATTAACACATCAGATGAACATGGTACTGGAAGTAACATTTTCCATTTTTTCAACTGCAACTTTTTTATAACAAAATTGATCCAAAATATCGCTTAGTCATGCGGTAATGAAACTGCTCATTTCTAAATTAGTGTTCGTGCAAGACAGTCAAACTCCCAACAAAAAGTGATTGTCAATAAAACGATATTTCGTCAAAAATCCGTGAAAGAAAATACAGCAGTCCAAAAGAGTTTTTAACAAATATTATAGTTTACACGGCAACCAGGTGAACGATCAGACATGATTTGATGCTACTCTGGTTTACAGATTTAATGAATGTAACCGAAGAAGTTACAATTCATAGACCCAACGTTTCGACACTCCTGTCTGGTGCCTTCATCTAGTTTAGATCACCCCTAATGAAGGTACTAGACAGGAGTGTCGAAACGTTGGGTCTATGAATTGTAACTTCTTCGGTTGCATTCATTAAATCTGTAAACCAGAGTAGCATCAAACCATGTCTGAGTTTTTAACATGTGTATGATAACCAACTCAAATCGATGGGTGAATTTTAAGTTTTGCATGTTTTCACAAATGGCAATTTCGTTCGCTTACCTCTTCCAACTTTGATGGTTGAACACTTTTCACCTTGGTTATCCCCCTTTCGCGGTTTCATTTCAGAATAGTGATCCACTCACAACATTAAAGCTTTGTGCTACTGTAGGTTCTTCATTACTAAGCTTGAAAATTGACTTCTACCGGCATTTCAGACTATTTAGCGACCCGGAACCCTAAGGAAAGGAGTCAATAAATAAAATGTTAGATCTGGGCCGAACTTGAGATGTACTTTGTGAATACGGCGTCAATTGTTAATATTTCAACTTGAGTGGCTGCTCATTCAATACTCAAAAGTGAGTCCTCAGGATATTGACAAAGTGTCGCTTAATGCGGAGTTTAATTTTGAAAATGAGGTAATCTGAAATGACATCTGATCGCATTTTCAGGCCCTATCAAAACACACTCCCTCCAAAGATGAAGGTAATTGGAAAAAAACTCTACAGATAAGATATTTCGTGCAATACCACGTTCAATATTAAGTTCTCGGAAATTGTAATCGCAAGGACAACGGTTTGTTACTTAAACGCACAATATTGTCACAAGTGTCTAATAGTAGGTGTAAGTTTTTTAATATTACCCTTTTCGGATTGTTAGTACAATTGTTAAGGAAATATCTAAATTCGACAAGATTTTAGTCTCTAGAGAAAAGAACTGTCGTTAACCACACAAGCCGGGAACTGATACAATAACCGCATGTTGTTTAACTCTTTCAACTTAATCTTGCTGTTGAAATTAAAGGGAGAGCCATTTGAATTAAGTTTCGCGAAGGAATTTCTTTTAAATCTTCAAAACTTTGTAGTTTTATGTTCCAATTATACAGGTGTTTAACCTGAAATTGAGTTTTTAATTTGGTTGTAAAACTGTGGCGCTTTAATTTAGTAGGAAATTTCCGCCCATTGATAAATCAATAAGACACGCGGTCCGGGGAGAAATTTTACGGAGGGCGACGGAACTAAACCATTTTAACCGTTCCTATCGAAAGTTCCAAGGGAAATTTCTCTTCTTTTTACCCGGCACAGCGTTCTTGTTTGGCGAGAATTTTTCCGGCCACCTACAATTTGTCGCTGGTCACTTATTAATTAGAAATTGGCCGAATAACTTTCATAAACATGAACCGGTACTGATACAAAACCTTAGACAGAACATTTTTGTTCTTTTAGGATTGAAAGTTTTTGATACCGTTTTAGAAAAGAAGCACTTATTTGGATGAAAGAAATCCTCACCATTTAGACCATATGTTCTCGCTGGTTACGAAGTTTCAAACCGTCAATTTTTACCTCAAGAAAAGCGCTTCAGAAATATAGCTCAACCTGTTGGCTCCCTAGGGATTATTTTCACGGATAACAAGCAAAATCACAATAAAGAATAAATCACGAACACGAAAGATAACTAGAGGTTAACACGAACGCAACAATCGAGGAGGTTGATAGAAAATTGAATTAGAGTGTATTATATTGAATATATTAACAAAGTACTCAATATCTGTGTATTACTTTAGTACAGTACTCCTAAACTACTTTTGATGAAATAATGGTGCGTGTATGCGAAAGGATACTTTTATTGTCTAAGTTCAAGCAGTTCTTAATCATTTTGAAATATATTAATGAGAAGCGTCGATTCACCTCGAGAATTTGGTCAATGCGTTTTTCATTCGATCGCAGGTATCAAATAAACCTTGTTAAACACGATTGAATCTCAGAACGTCAGTGATGTCACCTAACACAGCGTCCATCTGAAGTTAAATACGTAGTTTTATGATTTGTTTCGACAATCTACATCGATTGTACTTTTTTTCGCTTTCCTCGCAGAAATTATGAGATAACGAGCTTTGACAATTGCGGTTCATAGCCTCACGGAGAAACCCCAAATAAATACATGTGTGTTGATTTCCGGAGAATTCGAACAGAGGCTGTTTTAGAATAGTCCCTGAGTAAGCTGGGAAATATTGATTGGTTAACCCAGTGAAGTATATCGAAAGAATGGATTTTTTTACAGTTTATAAACTCCACCCAAAGATATCATCGACCGTTTACAGTGCACATGAATAAGCTGCTGGTGAAATAACAGTGATTGTCCGTTGATAAGTTGAAATACCTTCATTACACTTGAGCGCACATGTGATTTCAATCGTCCTTTTGCCCTTCTTGTTATGAAAAACGAGTTCAGACTAGCTTAGCGAGATAGCGAGCGCTTAACAACAACTTGAACGACTCTTTTTAGTTGAAATACGCTTGTTTTAGGGAACGATGGCGTAACACACTCAGACCCAATGGTAGATGAAAATTGTGGTAACGTCAATTTTAAATATAACTTGTGTTATAATGCACAAGCTTCAGAACAAACTCACTGTTAGCACTTAAGTATTTATGTAGTCGAGATAATTCTGAGCAATATTTCGTATCAAAGTGCAAGTTATCTAATTGTACAATTCACTCCATTACTATATTCGAAAACCTTTTTTGATTTTCTGGCCAGATTCGACTTTAATAATGTTGAAATTGAGTAAATTATAGAGACATTCCGTTATAACCGCGTATAGCAGGTGTGTTGAAACTCTTTACGATTGGTCGGAAAAAAATCGGTCAACAAGAAACTGGCGGAAAGACAAAAAATCCGAGCAAAAGGCTTGCTATATAAAATTGCACGAAAAGAGTCAGTTATTTTGATATTGTGGAAAGTAAATTTTAACATAGAGAAAGCCGAGTTCTACTTCAGTCGTAATATTTGCCATCAGACGTAAATGGACATAATTATGGCACTCAAACTTTTAACTAATATACTCTATGTGACCGCTACCCCAATTAAACTCCTGCCGTGTGGACCAGCTAAATAAGGAGATTTTCTCAGGTCAGCGACATTTTTAAATAAAACAAAAAATTTGTATCGGACCGAAAGCTTTCTGAAATTGATATGTTTATACTGACTACGCCATAGCAAAGGTCGAATTCAAATTAGGTGACAATTCTAGGTCATAATTTTTCTTGACAATTCTGTTTTGCCGGTAAAAATTTCAATCAGATGAAGGTTCCCTGTTTTTGCTACCATTAACTAATTAAAAATTTCGGTTTTGTGAAACAGGGTGGGGTTAACTAAACAGTTTAAACAAACGCTGACACACGCTCCTCAACATGAGCGAATAATTTTATTTAAAAAATTGACATAAACAGTCCAATGCTATTTAGAAACTATCTGTGCACTTTATGCATCACAAAATTGGGTCGAAATCACAAGCAAAAATGTCTCACTCCTGATTTTTGGTGAATTGGGTGAGGTACTATGACAGGCGTGATGCTACCATCAGCAAATTCAAGAGTATAACATTTTCGGGGGTTAGATTAATTATTTTTTACGACTTTGGGATGCGTTTGGAGCCTCCAATATACTCAATAATTTTCCTCTGCTTCGTATAATTTTCTTGCCATTTCTATACCTCTTTTCGATGTGAACTTCATGGTAAAACCCCTCGTTCCCTTTCTATCGAAGAGTAAATTTACAAATTTACCCTCGCAACCTTAGGTCGTTTTAAGGACGACTTTATTCACCTCTTAGGTAAATGTAACTGATTTTCTGTCCATTCATCATGTCAGTAGACGATTTTTTCTCTTGCAGATATCTCTGCGTCTCCAAACTGGAGGAAAAAACATACCAGAACTCAAAGCGCGCGAAGTACTTTTTACGACTACAAATGAGCAACGGTCATCTGATGTCCACAAGTGGTGACAGAATACAATTGTTTCCTTACGCCGCCGCCCCCCCCCCCCCCCCAAAGAAAGTGACTGACATCTCATGATTGTCCAAGCAAATATCAAAGCTTGAATTGGTTTGTTACTTAAGGGCAAACCTCGGGAATGACGAGGAAAAAAATAAAAATAGATTTTGAAAAAATTGATTGTCTTCTGAGAAGTGGGACACCTAAATAGCTGTCACCCTCGAGAGTGATCAGATATCTCGCCGTGACAATAAGTTAAGACATTCACTTTATTTGGTCAAATCACATCGGTTGATAAAATCTACATGCAGGTGTTAGTGCGAGCAAACAGTAGACTTAATTCAGTTTGCAACTGAGCACTGATAATTAGACTTTTAAGTATTTTTCTGATGTTTTAGTGCAGTCACAAGGAGCAACTAATTAATAACAGGAAAACATTTGGATGACAGAAATAGAAAAATTCCACGAGAGAAGAATCAGCCCTCACCTGATTCCATTTATTCACATTAATTTTGCAAGGTAAATAAGAACTTTGTCGATTTTTTCCAAATTATAAAAAGATGGGAATTTCAATACAACACTGTATTTTTAAATACATAACAGGCTGAATATCAAAATGACTGAGATGATATGTAGGTGAAACTGTGCCGCCCGAGTGGGAAATCTGAACACGAACTGAGCTCTTCATGGCGTCAACTCTCGCAGCTCTCCCTGAATTTGCCATAAATTTAGTTTTACCTCAAAGGTAAATAGAAAAAAATGAAAGCAGCTGACAGCAGACACAGAGTTAGACAGATCTCATCAACACGGATGCGCTTTAAGTCAAAAGTTTGGAAACAAACAAGATATTTATACATCCGCAAATGTCTAAAAGAACAATGAAATACATGTTGTTTTAGTCAATAATTTTTTTTTTAACTTTTTCCTCACAGGTTCCAGGTTTTTCTTAACTATGGGCGTTATCTTGTGATCCACAAATCCAGACCAAATTTACATGTAATCTGACAAAGCAACTTCGTTAATATATGAATATATATATATATTCCAGCACTGCATACAGTCAACGGATACCAGTGAACATATTTACCGTAGAAATGAAGGGTCGCACTTTTGAGCGGAAACTTTTCGCTCATACTCGTGAGAAGAAAGCAAGAAAAAACATTCCTCAATCACTCTAACCATAAAATGGACGTGTAATTTTATGATGACCCATTAAGTTAGATGCCCGTCTGATGAAGCGCGACGTCGACATTAGACGTGAACAATCTTACCTTACCTGTAGCGAAATCTGAAAACACTCGCGCTGAAAACTGTAATGAGCCAAGCAAGCTGAGATTGACTCAAAAATGTTGCCACCGAGGCCTTAATACCCGTTGCATGCCATGTCTTCTCAATTTTCAGCCAGCAAGCGTTTCCTGTTGCATTTTTTTGAGTTGTGTTTTTGGAGTTCTGTAGTCACCCGTATCGGCGGGTGGCAAAACCCACCAAAACCATCAACAAGTGGCTTATTAGCCGCGCACAGCCTGGAGCCGGATAATGACGTTATGGTTATCTTGTGATGAAGGTCAGTTGGTATTCGTTTACCAGTTGAACTAAATCTTCGACGCTTATCAACCCGACTGTTTGTATTCAGGCATAGGTGAATTCATTGTCCTTTGTGTAATCTAAATCATTTTAAAATGACACTTCTGTGATTCTTCTTGATTCTTTTTCGAATGTGACGTTTCTAAAATTATCAGTATTTGATGTGTTTTATCTCCCCAAGACTTAAGGCTAATTTATCAACGTGAGGTTCATGTCTGTGAGTGCATTTAAACTATGGAGGTTATTTGACTAAATTAAGCCTTTAGTTCTTCAGATTATTTATCACAAGGCCATATGTACTTGCCACAATATGGCGCAAATCACAGGTGTTGTCTCGAAACAACCAAATGAGGATGCAAGCGCGTAATTTTTTGATAGTGGTGTTTTTTTGGTAGTTCGAGTTGTGGTCGAAAGTGGTTTAAAAAATTTTAGTTAGAATTAAGAGTTAGGATTTATCATAGAGAAAATACTATAAATGTTGTAGCATCAATTCCCTGCCCGGATGGAGTTCTAAACTACATTACATACAAACTCGCGATTAAAGTCGGGTTCTGTTTACGGTAGCAACTGTTTCCAACTTCGCTTAGGAACGGGACATATGGTGACGGCGAAATTACCGCGCGAGTTTCTCCGTGTGTGGATAGTTTGTGTTTGTCGTTCGTTCCCACTTTAGTGGCAATCCTCATGGACTGTCAAAGAATCATAATGGCTTCCTAGCTTCTTCGGAACTCGAAATATGTCACATAGTGCCTTAAACTCGTTCCAGGGTCGTTCCAGGGTCGTTCCAGGGTCGTTCCAGGGTCTTTTCGGTTTCAGATTGGCGGCGGGTACGTAATGATCACAACGCACTGTCACTGATATATAGCCCTTGACCAGGCTGAGAACTCGTAGATAACTCTGGTAACTCATAACATCTTCTTCTTTCGCGAGGATGGACTCTTGCGCATGCGCTTGGTAAGGAAATTCTCGAAAACATTCTTTTGTAAGCCAACCGGAAGTCGCGATTCAAATAACCGTAGAGGACTGGGTTAATGGCGGAATTGCTATAGATAAGAACAGAGATGACCAGAACTACGACTGGGGTGATCAAATTTTTGACGAAAGCGCTCAAAATGACTGCTACCATGAAAGGAATCCAGCACAGATAAAATACTCCTACCACAATCCCTGACAAACAAAAAAAGAGTAATCAGAGTGAGAGAATTATCCTATGTGGATACAACTAGATAAATTTACGAAACCCCTTAAATTTTCTATCCGAATATCTTTCACATGATTTTCAGGAGGAACTGAGGGGAGATAAGTCGTCGTCGCCAATAGAATATGAAGGGGTGACTGTGGAAAATTGACGGCCACTGAAGGGGATCATAGGAATATTGTAGAGCCTTACGGGGGGAGGATCAGGTATTTTATTGTGACACTACCAAAATCGTCCGAAACTCCACCCACCCCTCCCCTCGCGATATATAATGACCGTTCCCATACTGAGCCGGTCGCTTGGGACAAAGGCTGAAATTTAATGATAAATGTCAAGGTTGATGTTCAGACGGACTCCTCTAAGGGTCCATGTCTTTGGCTGAGGGAAAGAATAAAGGTTTCGATGTAACGCGATAATGCAACTTTATGGCAATAATTATTCGCATAATATCTCAAAAAGAAAAAAAAAAAAAAGAAAGAAAAAAAAAACAGCAACAAGATACGCGTGCAACCCTGCACGTTTGTACTTTTTACATACTGCCCCCTCCCCCTCCCCCATAGGATGTTTTGATTAGAAATTTGTTTCAGTCTCCAGGAGACAAGATATCAAATAAAATATTGCTTTTACACGATTTCCAGCAGATTAGATGTGCTGGTCTGCACAATGGGGTTATATCCATATTCGGTACGGCATAACAGATGTATTTTAGATAGAACTTAAAAGCATTTTGATCTGCAAAAATAATTCTAAAAAGAATTTTGCTTACATTAGTCCTTCGTAAAAAACCAACTCATTTATAAAAATTTCAATCAAGTAAGCGTAGCTTCAATTGTATCAATCATTTAAATGACATGAAGGACAGAGAACCTTTTTTTTAGAGCTTCAGTAGTATTTTTAATAGAACATCAAAATTAAATTCATAATTTAATTCATAATATTCATAATATAAGACGTAGCGCTGTAAGAGACTTCATTGCTCAAAAGAAACAATTTGAAAAGAAAAAAAAAAAAACGGAAAAGTTTTAAAAAATGTTTTGGAATGATCTTGAGACTTTTTTCTTTCTTCTACCGACTACATTCAGACGGAACAAAATGTGGAAAATTCTCGATCGGCCGCGGTTCGGGTAAGTTACAGGAAGTCACCATGTGTTCCGGAAATACACTTGATACAAACGCTACGAAATGTACAGCGCTTATAAGTCGCTTTGTCTCATATCCCTTTGATTACTTTGAAAAAAAAATTTTTTTTTCATTTTTTTTCTTTCTTCAACTTAAATACAAAGTTTGTACGCTTGATTTCCATGAAACCGCTCAATATCGAATCCCGGAAAAAAATGTTATGGTGAAAATATATGAATAAAGTAAAAGAAAGCTTGAAATTAGTTAAGCGACAGTTTCTCAGACGTCATGCTTTTAGAACAAGTTTTGACGCAAGATGTGGGGGCGCGTGAATTGAACACATCCTGTTTTAAAATTTACCATAATCAATTCTTGCAAAGTTGATTATGTTGGCTGCACAACGCAAATTGAAAGCAGGTAATGTGAGTTTCATTTGGAGATCAAAAAGCTCTTGGACTAAGGTAGTTTTAATTCCTGGTAAATTAGATTCAGTTGAAGATTTTTAAGAGGCATGACTCACCAACCGTTCTAGCAGCCTTAGATTCCTTTAACGCCTTTGCAATATTATGATTTCCATCCCGCTGCACTTGTAAAGCTTTCAGTCTTCCTCTCAGCTTGACTGCTGCACGGTAAATTTTCAAGTAGGCGGCGGAGATGAACAAAGTTGGAATTAAAACAATGGCAGCTGAAAAAAATGTCAAATATTCTGGGCTCATCGTGTCTGCAAATCGGCAAATCTTGTGTTCTCGGCCACGCTCTTTAGCTGTCATGTTCCTCAGAGTAACGAACGGCAAGAACGAGGTAAACATTGCAACAAACCAGACGAGAATTATTGCATAAAAATTTCGCCGAGCAGTAACTTTACTCGAGTACGAAAGAGGCAAAATTATAGCAAAGTAACGCTCTACAGTAACAATTAAAAGATTCAAAACAGAAGCAGACAAACTGAGCAATGTAAGACTCAGTGAAAATTGGCACCAACTAAAATTTTGCGACTTGCGAAAGTCTTGTGCTTCGCATATCCTTACAGGAAGTACAATCATACCAACAACAAGATCAGCGATGGCCAACGAAACCAGGGAATAATTTGTAATCCTTCGAAGTGCACGCGTTGAGTAGACGGCAGATATCACAAACGCATTTGCGAAAGTGATTAGGATGCTCAGAAAGGCGTACAGGAAAGTTATCAAAGGCACCATGCTATCGTTTTTCGTTCGACTGACTTTTTGTGCGACGGATTTTCTGTGTTAGGCAAGTTCCGCGTTACTACCTATCTTGAATAAAATGCAACACTTCAGTAAGACGTTAAATCTCCGGGATTTGTTTCCTTCTCGATAACAACTAGCCCGTGATTGGCTATTGACATGCTGCATTAGAGTGTTGGACTGAATTAAAACGAGTAAAATATTAATTGGCTCTCGTGAAGCTCTGTATAAATAATACTCGAATATAAAAGAGACTATTTAGTATTACCAGCCATTGAAAATTATATCTTTTGTTCTGGTTTCTTAGAGGCGCTTAGTCTTGAGTGTGCTTAATCAGAATTGAATTCATAGGTGCGAGAAAGTAAAAGCTTCTTTTCATCGAGAGGAAATTATGTTTATTGTGTCAGTATCAACCTACGCGGGCTAATTACGGATCTTTACGGTTCCGGATATTTCGTAGGAGAAAAAAATGCTACAAAGCATCTGTTTTACCATTCAATTTTTTTTCCACATGTCTCATTTGATCTGCTCTTCGTGAAGACTTTTTGCACTGTCATAAGTAAATATACGTGCACGGTATCTATGAGATAATAAGTACTTAGCTGGCTTTATCAACTCCTGATTTTCTTTTCTTCTCCTGAATCTCTTTTACGACGAATTTGACTAATGGTCGCGTGAAAAGGGTTGCACCTTTCAAGTCGCGGGTCATGCATTCACGGCACACAACGGATCGTGCCTTCCATGTCGTGGGTTTCAGGGAACGGGTCATGTCTTTCAAGTCGCAGGTGATGCCTTTCAAGTCGCAGGTGATGCCTTTCATGTCGTGAGTCATGCCCTTCAAGTCGCGGATTGTGCCTTTCAAGTCACGAATAATGCTTTTCAACTCGCGGATGATATCTTTCAAGTCGCCGGTTAATCCGTTCAAGTCGCGAGTCCTTAATAACTCGCCAATCGAGCTTCTTAGGTCTTGAGTTCAAGTTACAAGTGATGTCTTTCAAGTCATGCGTCATGTCTTTAAACTCGCGAGTCATGCCTACCTGTCTGTGGACATTAATGTCTGATTTTGGACACTACAAGGTCATTAAAAAGTTTTCACCCTTTTTCTACACTCTATAACTTGCTTATTTTCGCATTTAGGAAGCCATAATTTTCAAATAACCTGATTTTGCCTACTTTCAAGTTTTAAAAATGTTCAAAAGTTAAAAGAAAAGAACAAATTTAAAAATATTATTTTCCCGTAAAATGTAGAAACCGCGAATGCCCTTGATTTTCTGTTTCCCGCGTTCTTTTGCCTGTGTAATCGTCGTCCTGTGTTTGTTAGTTTTTCGTGTGAGATGGTTCATACATAGACACAAAAAAGGGAAAAATATGTTGGGACAATTTCCAACACTCCCTGTGCAGTTAATGCTTTCTTTACTTCTTATTTCGTTACTAAATACTTTCTCGGAGTCCAGCTCAGCTCATGAAGGTGACAGTGATGTTGACTCTTTTTAAAACGACTTTCTGCCTAAAAATTTCATACTCTTCCGGTTAAGATCGGACAAAACAAAAACAAGATTGGTAATATAAAAATCATAGAGTACCCACTGACGAAATTAGAATTACACTTTAAAAGACATCTAAAGAAAAAAAAACCCTTGAAAACTGTTACACAACAACAGAATAAACAGAAAATTTGGAGAAGAAAGGACGTACCCAGGGTACCGCCCCCAAAAAAGCCACCTGCTGTTCATATGAGTTAAATCATTTTAAATGCAGTGCGGAGGATGAAAAGTATAAGAGTTGTTTGCAACTTAACATTAATTTATTGTGAACTTAGATTTCCCCTTGTGTGGTCTTTGTACCTTGTTTATGGCCAAAAAGTTTAAGTCGCTTCTCACTTTTGCGACGGTTACATGCAGCTATCCAAACAGCATGAAGTCTTTCTTTGTGCTGCTGTGCTGCTCGCTGCTCACTAGTCTCCGTTAAAAAAAATAGAGAAAGGATAAATCTTTTTCATTTCCCGAGACGTGGAAGAAGAGTTTCGCTCACGAAACCAAGTGAAGACCCCCTATGATACGCGACAACACTTCGTGCTTATTTCACGTTCACTCCAGAACCGATTGGCTTGAGGTCACAGTGATATACACCGGACAAATCTTGATTAAAATGCTTTTCGGCTCGGACTAAAAAAATTTCTTCAAGTAACGGATTCGATAATGGTCAAGAGGAAAACGAGAAAAAAAATAATAGATATTTTTTTAACCGCTGTTTAGCATTGCATGCAATTTACCTGTGGCTCCAAATAGAGATACGCGACCCGTCGCGTTTCGATAATTCAACCTTTTCAGAGAAAGCATTTTATTTCTCACTTCGTATTTCATAGTCTCTAATTGGTGGCTTGCACCAAAATGGAAAATATCTTTTTTTTTTCGCTCGGTAGCAGCTGGACAGCGAGGGCGAAGCTTTTACTCTCAGGTCTTAACGTGGCCCTTTTCACTGCCTTACACACGTGTGACGTATCACATCACATGACCTGGATCGGAACGTTTTCAAAATGGCCGTCGATTAAGCGTCAAAAGAATTTGTAGCAAATTTGGTTTTGCACAATATATCGTTTATTTGCTTATCTAGGATTCTTTAACAGAAGAGAAATTTATTAGGACAAAAAAAGGGGAAGAACTTACCGTCAGTTACCCTTTAAGTCACCTTCAAGAAAGAGGTGTTAGATATAATCAACTAGCTTATTATATAGTTAGCTTATTATATATATTTTTTAATATTTAATGGCTTGTGGAAATATGTTATTTCCATTCATTTTCCAACTCTTCTCTTCTAAGTTAAAAACACATATACAGAAAATTCTTGCTTGATACCAATTTTGTCTCATAACAAGTAATAAAGAGAAGCGAGCGCTGAGTGAAAAAAAAAGTTTATTTCGCGAACAACTGAGGACAAACCGAGAATGGGGTGGAATGACAGGCTGCAGCATAACAACCCTTCGCTTTGTTCCAAAAGGGAAAACGTCAACATCTAATTATTGCATGAACAATATACTAAAAAGATAGTCAAGCCCTTACCTTGCCGCCGATCTTCTTTAGAAGAACTCGTAAAAGAAAGTTGACTACTTCGAATAGGAGAACGACCTTGTTGCAAGATGGAACACCGGCTCACACAGCCAAGGCTACTCCAACAGTAGTGTCTAATTTTGGACGCTAGTGTCTAATTTTGGACTCTAGTTCTGATTTTGGACACCAATACTGATTTGCACAGCTGTGTCTGATTTTGGACAATAGTCTCTGATTTTTCACCATAATGTCCGATTTTCGACTCTAATGTCTGATTTTGGACGCTGTGTCTAATTTCGGATACTAGTTCTAATTTTGGACCGTTGTGTCTGATTTTTAGACACTAGGATCTGAGTTTGTACAGTACTGTTCGACTTTGGACACTTGTTCTGATTTTGGACACAAGATCTGTACTTGGATAGTTGGGTCCCATTTTGGACACTAGTGTCTGATTTTTGGACAATGGTGTCCGATTTTGGACACTAGTGTCTGACTTTGGACATTAATGTTTTGTTTTAGACATTACTGTCTGAGTTTGGACACTAATGCTTTATTTTAGACATTACTGTCTGAGTTTGAACACTAATGTCTGTTTTTGGGGAAAGGGAATCATTCCGCACAAAAATCGTTCGAAGTGGGCTTTTCTCTCACACTCATTATCGAAGCTTCGAACACACTGTCAACGTCCCAGAATTCTTTCCATAGTTTGTTTGTTCAGATAAGAATAAACCCTTTTATGACAAATGCCTCTACTCAGTTAGGGTGGCAAGAGCTTCGCTTGAGGTTTACAAGTCATCTTGAAGAAAACAGCATGATTTTGAAAAATGAATAATGAAAATAAGATTTAAAAAATTGCCTCTTTCAAAAAGATATCGTGCAGAAAGAACGACCCTGTAAATAATTAAAGGCGAAAGCCGCCTCAGAAATTTAATCCAGAAAGTTCTCTGGAAGTCAATATAGATTTCCGTTCATTATATTTAAAGCTAACGCAATCGTTCGATATAATAGCTGTCTTTCCTGATCGCATTAATAATTTTTACGACCTTGAGATAGCGGAAACACGTGAATTTTATTGACGTACCGACAATTAACTCTATTTTGATTTATCATGAATAAGTGATTTTTCGTTTTGGATTAAATTTGTCCGTCTAAGATGCGGCTCTAACACGAAAATCTGGTTCTGTTGTTTTCTTGCTTAAATGAGTATTCTTTAAATATTGTAACAAGAGCGATTAAAAGATTTAGCGAGTGACACAATTTGCGAAAAGCCTTTTGACGGGGCCAAAGGAATCGAGGATAACGACAGGTCCATTAAAAGGATGGATTAGTTTATAATTGGAAAAATTAAGCCTATAAAAAGAAATAACAATTCGACGGACAGATGTAAATGAGTAAATGTTGTTTTGAAGGTGCTAAGAGAGAAATTACTTTACCAGCTGCTTTTAAAATCAGAGAGAAATCCACAAACAGCTCAAGGTAAATTTAGAAAGCTCGTTTTTCTATGGTAAAATGTTCCTCATGTCGCCATGACTTCTTTTCTGTGAAAAAAAGGGACTATTCAAGGTTCTTTGGTTTCTTTGTCATGGGAAGTAAAACGCATGCGACCTGACGAGCCCCTCTTTCCAAACGGACTATGTATTAACACCTAGTACTCCCAGGACACAAAGCTTTTTATTTGAATATGCATGGTATGCTGTGCAGTTGTCGTCTCCTCACCATTAGAAAGTACTAACAGAGCGCTAAGAGCTAAAAAATTTTACACTGGAAGGTTAAAAAACAATTGGCGAGACCTGCTCTAAGCTTTTGACGGTAGATCTGGAAATAGCATTAAAGGGATCACTGACTCGCTGTCTCTACTCTCTGAGAGACGATTAAAAATACATTGAATTGCCCATAGAATATCAATGTCTTAAACAAGGGTTTAAGATACGAATTCGCAGAAAAATT